GAAGAAGAAGAAGAAGAAGAAGAAGAAGAAGAAGAAGAAGAAGAAGAAGAAGAAGAAGAAGAAGAAGAAGAAGAAGAAGAAGAAGAAGAATGTCATATTTAGCACTTTTTTCAAGACTCTCAAAGATGCTTTACAGTTTCATGCATCATTCCTTCACACTCACATTCACACACACACAGGTTTGTTTTCATATCCCCGTGGGGACTGTGGGTTTACTTCCATTTATTTTTTTGGTAATTTTATATCCTAACTCTGACCATTTACCCTAAAACTAACCTCACAGGAAACTAGCCTAAACTCAATTCAACCTTGGTCCTAAACCTAACTCCCCACCCTCCACCCATAATTTGCATTTGTACCCGTGGGGACTGGACATTGGTCACCATGATGCATGTTCGGTCCCCACGAGGCTGCTTTTTTCTAGAAAATTGTTCCCACAATGTAGGAAAAACATTTCCACATTCACACACTGACGCTAGTAAGCTACAACTGTAGCTACAGCTACCCTGAGGCACACTGACAGAGGCGGGGCTGCCACACTGTGCCACCATCAGCATGCAGAACAAATGAGACAGTTGGAATGGGGGATTGAACCAGCAACCCACCGGTAACAGGATGACATATAACTTGTGTATTATTAGTTTTTCTAAAGTAATTGGATAATTAGATAGAAGAAATAAAAACATACCTTCTCCTTTCCCATATTTGGAAGATGGGACCCATGAGAYGGCTTCCAGGTAGCCCAATTCCCTACAGACCACCTGAGCAGAGTGGATGTTGAAGTCGTCATCGCAGACAGTGCCCCATGTACCGTTGTAGTAAACCTCCACACGGCCCTCATTATGCTTCCTCTTCTCTCCCGCCAGTCTCAGTTGAATCCTGGGCGTGTCCGCATCCAGCACTGGGGGTCTGTACTGTTCTGGTTCTGGGTCAGTGTAAGCCAGCGGGTAGCCGAGGTACTGTAACTGGGCATGGGCCAGATTCAACAGCACTAACAGGACAGCAGGACAGAGGGATGGTCTGTGGGGGGCCGACATCATGAATGGRACTGTTGAAAATCAGATAAAAGGGGGGACATATGTTAAAATTTCCTGACAGATAACACTAACCCAACAGAAAGAGACTGACAAGGTAACAGATGGATGAGGGTTGAGTCATCCTAAATCAGCTCCGATCTTCACTGAAGTTCAAACATTATAATTGCTTCCAGGCTGCCCCCAGTGCTGCAGCTAGCTGCTGCTGCTATTTGTGTTAAATAGGATTGTTCATTGACTTCCATTTTTTCCATTACTTTCTATAGTCTAAGCCTGATCCCTGAACCCAGGGGTCTGCAACCTTTATGATCAAAAGAGCCTGCCATTTCTGCTCCTCGGCTCACTAATAAAATGTGTCCAGAGCCGCAAAACAAGCTACAACTGTGATTATACTGGTGGTCCGTGGGTCTTTTCAATGTCTTTTCAGGAGCCTTTAC